TTTTTTTTATATAAGCGCCTGCGTTTTTTTTTCACATTTAGTGAAGCACATATCCTGCTGTGTAATATTTTGAACGTATTAACCGTATCTATATTGATCGATAAAGGCTTCCAGTCTTCCAGGCAGATTACACTCACGCGCTACGTTGGGAGGAGAAATAAAATCAGTAATCAATACCATGGAGCCGACAAGAAAACTATTTTGGTTCAGTCAATGTTTGCCGTCAGTCAGCCCGGTGAAGGCAGGTCAGCGAGCTGCTGTCCACTCAGTCGGGCAGAGACGTTTACGTGCTGCTCACGTCTCGCTCCCAGTGGGGATTCGCAGTAAAACGTTACATTTCCTTTTTATAATTAATGAAAGCGATGTTAACATGGTGCATTCAGTGCGTGCGTGGCAGACAGCCCCCGCTATACATGAGACCATGTGGAGATTCTGTGATTGATTTCAAAAAAGAAATAGCATATAATCAACAAGCAATTCAACTCCAATCTCGAAAGAAATTAAATCTAGTGAAAAAATGATGGGTTCACAATTGAATAATCAAACCTCTTGAAAGGCTGTCATTTGATGGATTTTACACATCTATGATCAATGTTCAGTTTTACATTTTTGACTGATGATGGAGAAGCGTTTTTGTTCTGAATATTATGTCAGTCATATGAGATATTCTAGTCTTGACTCAGTCGGTACATCACATCATGGGAACATAATGTATGTACGTTAAACTTAAATCTGAGAAAAAAGTTTTTGCAGTATTTATGAATTCAAGTAAGTCTCATGCGTGGACAAATTTTCAAGAGGAATTTCTGTGTCGCCGTTTCCTTTTAGACCATGAGCGGATCGGGAAAGACTCGTCCTACGAACAGGAGGGGAAGGTTCAGTTTGTGATCGACGCGGTTTACGCCATGGCTCACGCTCTGCATAACATGCACAAAGATCTCTGCCCTGGAAAAGTCGGCCTCTGCCCCAAGATGGAGAGCATCAACGGCACACTTCTGCTCAAGTACATCCGCCATGTCAACTTCACAGGTGTGTACTCCTGATTCCACCGAAGGTAGGCTCATGTGCAAAGCTATATTCTACCTTGTATGTATTGCGTAACGTGTATGTGCCCGTTTGTTTTTGGGTTCACCAACATGCTCATAAACAGTGGCTTCCAATTATCAGGCTACTGAATGCAAATTACTGCGAGCACGTAGAAGAGGCAGAGATCCGTAGGAGGGTTGACAGTCAGCAGCAGAACAGCGGGTCTTTATCACAGCGGATGATGTGCAGGAACTGTGCTTACTGAGATAACCCGCCTTATCTTGTCAGCATTGAATTGCCCACGCAAGAGATCTTCTGCTCGAAGTGCGCTGAATGCCGAGTTAAAATTGTACATAAACGACAGCACCATCTGAAACAGGCATCAGGAGTTTTCCAGTGGCGGTCCTATGTAGACTTGAATCCTGACCAATTCAGTGGGCTGTCATCTCAAATCGTTAAACACACTTAAGAACACTAAGGTCACACACACTAGCATCAACTGGAGAGGATTTTTGACATTAACGCCTGTCTAGCCTCTGTTCCACTAGCTTCTGTAAATTACTGCAATCCCTCATCCAGTTTGTCTTCCGTCCTTCAAAAAACAACTTCCTGGATATTTACTTTACATATTGTAAGACAAATAGGCATCCACTCCTAGAGCTAGACCCCTATATCAGCCAGGCCAGGATATCAGTCAATAGCAGATGCATCCTAGCAGTGAATTTGTTGGCCGATATGCAACTAGAAATTGCTGTTACAGAAATGCCAGACTCGGTTTGAGGCAATTCTGAAACGTCCTCTCAATCCTGCTCTTATCACTAGCCCTTCGTTTAACCTTGCAGTGGTCTAGGGCTTATGGAAAATAGTGTTCTTTTAAAGACAGCTATAAACAACAACATTGAATAATTAATATTAGATTGTTTTTTTCTTTTTTTCTAAAAGACTATTATACATGTGGCGTGAACCGCACAACATACCGTGCAGTAAGTTTATGTACCAGGGCTGAATTTATTTTGGTATTTGTTCTGTTTCTATAAATCTCAATGTGATTTTAAATGAGGTTTTCTTATTTCTGGAACAGAAGTTCCTGTGTCACTTCGGCTTTCTGTAAAACTTAAATGCAAGTGTTCCACCGAGGCCAAGTGGAGAGCCTCGTACACCATATGTAAAAAAACATTTGTAGCATGATAGTGTCATATCGCCAATCTTAAATATTCCACATTTCAGAGCTAAAGCTGCACCTTATTCTGCACCGTTTGTCGCCAGTCGTCCTGGGTAAGAACAACTACAACGTTTAAATACAGAGCAAAGACTGACTCAACTACACATTATCTATTTCTGCATGTGTGTATAGTGCCTGAATAATTTACATAAGACAAAAGTGTCCTCTACACATATACCCTTTTGTGGATTTTGTGCAGGGATAGCTTCGTTGGCTTAATTGTTTTAGACACAGTGTTTTGTCTTGCGCTATTAATCTTTGATGACTGCTTTTGGAAATCTTGAAGAGGATGAACACTCAAAAACATTCAGAATGTAGAAAGGGACATTTAGAGGACGTTGGTTAACAGTCTCGACACATAATTATACAAATGTACCACTAACATAGCAACAAGACAGATGCACTTTGAAACTTTGAAAAATTAATTATGGGCTTACAGGTAGAAGCACGGATGCATATTTAAGGAGGTCATGACAGCAGCATGTGCATCTGCTGGCTAGTGAGGAAATAACAGAAATGTACACTGAGCGGGTTCTAACTTAGATCAGCGTTAGTGGTTAGAACAACTTGAACTAATTATACATCGGATGAATAGAGGGTCAAAGTGTTTATGCAATCATGCAGAATGCAATGCGAGCAAACCTGCGCCACCCTCACAGATGATTATACAGTAGAGGAACATTTATTTGTGTGATAATTACTGGGTGGTATCTTCAGGGTGAGGGGCGGTCACGCCTCTGAAAGTATAGGACAGGAATAATTTGATGTAGATGAGAAAAATAAATAGGAACTTCAGGATGAAGCAAAACACTTGCCCTCTGCTGCAGAATCCAGAGCTCCGAAGAAACACAGCTGGAAGCAAGAGATGATGTCTTGCACTATAGTTCTTACTCGTTAGTCAGGGCTAAATCCTTTTTGGGGAAAGGATAACATAACCTGAACTATCTCAACTATCATTGGCAAAGTCAACCAACCGTCAACATTGGTTTCTTTGATTTATTAACAAACTATTGCTTCTCTTAACTACAATAAGGTTCCTTAATCTTAACCAGTTAGTCTTAGTGCCTAAACTGAACCAAACATGTTTTTTTAATAACCACATGTACTGTATATGAACAGTATTGTCAGACAGCATTGGCCTGCTGTCCGAAGCGTTTTATAGTTTTATAAATGGGTGACAATGTATTTTGTAGCCTGGTTTGGATGACACGTTGGATTCCATGTTTGTTTTGACCTATTTTATACATCATGTTTTTAAGGCAAGGCAAGTTTATGTGTTTAATATGATAGAAAATGCAGATCTATAAGTTGGGGTGGGAGGGAGGATGTGGAGTTTATTTTATTTAACGTCTCCATCTTCGCTGCTCCAAGTTCCCCATTCCATTTTTCAAGAATTAAAAATCATAAGGCAGTAATTTCAATGATAATATTGTTGTTTCATGAAGGCACAAAGGGCAGAGAGAGGGGTGGCAGCAACAGGGATCAGTTTCGTTGGTAAATAAATTGAGGTTATATTTCCGAAAATGTACAAAAACGTTAATTTGGCATTTCCTTCCTCAGATGTGGTGTTTGGTTTATTGGTTTATGTAAGAGACTTTTAAAGTAGACATAAAGTAGCAAAGGGACAAAGCAAAGATGGATATGAATGTAGCAGTAGCATGGAGGATTCTTGTATTTGTATTAATGTAGTCAACGTAACCTTTATTGTTGGGGATAATAAAGGTTAACTTGACACTTGTGTTTGCAGCAGTTATTTTTAACCCTAATGGATATTGAAAGGAAACTTTGCAGCGCTCAGCAGTGTTTTACTGCAGGCCCCATCTTCAAAGTCAAAACATTGTGTACCTGCACCGAGCGTGCTTATTATTATGTAAGCAGGTCAGTCCTCGTTTGTGAAGAATAAAAAAAGAAGATGAAATTGTTCACAGTTGTGTCCTGAAGTCATATTTGGAAGATAGATCTTTTCTCCCAGCACTGGAGTAAAGCTTTAATCTGAAGTACTGTTCAGCAGACTTGTGTTATGGAATGAAACTGCAATTCTTTATGCATTCCTTTATTCGTGGTGTTGTATTACTGGATGGCTTGTCAGCACTGAAGTCGTTGGGGTTGCTACAGGGATGGCTAGAAAAATCAATGCTGCACATTACCGGATTGTTTCCTTGCTTTTAAGAGTCTTTCAGCACAGAGGATTTAAAAAGGTTCGGAGGAAAACAACAGGAATGTCCACATGACCCCAGTGTATTCTGGGAATTCTCGACAGACGTCCACGCTGACTTAAGGAAAGAGAAAAACCAAGCGCTGCAGATACTGTAAATGAAGTTGATACTTATCGACGCATGGCATTAAGATTGTGTTCCCAGTGAAGCTGGTTGTGTTCTGTAATGTATTCAGTGGTCGTCAATGCTAGTTATCCTGAGGACATTTAGTTTTACTGAGTAACCTCGCAAGACATAAATCCGATAGTGAAGCCGTGTTACAAGTGTTGTGATTAAAAGTTGGCTGTAACATCGGGTTTACAATGTCTTTTAGATACAGCTTAGTAAAGGATCTTTCCTGTCCAGGGATGTAGGAATATTAAGCAGTGCAGCAACTTGTGAGGATAGAGATTGAGAGACTAAATTGTTCCTGAGGTCAGTGTCATTAGAGAGGGACCGCTGAAAAGATAATCAACCCCACGATCGGTCCTTAACTCTGGCCAATTAAACGCCTAATAACCATGTAAGACCCAGCTTCCTTTTACAATAGAAATAAATTACAGTCTCCGACGGCTCTGGATCTTTGTATTTCTAAATCAAAGCTTTGCATTTAGGAGGAAAGCGTGGTAATTCAGTTTTCTTTCACTCGTATTGTTAGGTTTGCAGCAAATGCCTTCATCAAAGTCACTGGAACCACCTCTGTGCTTTTAAAGTGCAACGGCAGAATCTGCATCTTGTTTTGATTAGTTTTCATACAACATTTGTAAACACATTAGATGTCTCGTGGCTTTGGCTAATGGCTTTTAATGGAGTGGAAGGGTAATTCTTTTTAAAACTGCAAACGTGACACACTGGAAATGACTATTTGGTTTTGAATACATTATCAATTCTTAAGAGAGGCTGAGTAGAGCTTTAACTGCGTCTCCTTCAATAGACCAGCTTTACAATGGAGAGTAAACATCAGGAGGTCAAATATAACTTTTAGAGATCACTGGTCACGTTTTTTTATACACTTCTTAGAGCTAATGTAAACATAGTCATAATTCATCTCTAATATCTATTTATGTTGCCGACGTCCTGATTGAATATTTTACAGAATATTGGCGGATAACGATCGTCAGTAAAACTTTATTTCACACTGTGATGATTAACGTTAAACGGTGTAATTAATCCGCGGTTCACATGCGTGCCGAACCGTGAGGGGGGGGATCCGTACGGGTCACGGATCGGCAGTGGTCCGTTACACCACCACTTCACAGCCAGTCACAACTAGAATGAGTAAATGTGAATCATATTTATATGTTCATTTCTTCTCATCTTATTTATAATTGCACGTTCGTAAAAATACAGTCAGTGCACACAGTACAGTTGTGTTAATTTAGCTCTCAAAGTATAAACAGAATTTTACACACACATTTTTGAACCCAGTTTACCCACTTTAGAGTTTAATTAACAAAATGTGTTACTGTGACCGTTCCATTTGTGGTGCATTTGAGCAGAGCTGCAGCTGCTGACGGAGTGGGTTTCCCCCCCCCCCTAAATCATGTGATTTTTATTGCTGAGATTTGTGAGGAAACACTTGTTATGCAGCGTTTCCTCACAAATCTGACCTGGTTAATAAAACAAGCCGTTTGTCAATGTTTGCTGGCTCTGCACGAAACACGCAGTGTCTTTTTTTTGCAAGAGGTGAAACTAATCGATTAAGGCAATCAAATTAGTAGTAACATACATCCCACTCAATTCCCTGTATTGCTGAGATGGGCAAGAAGAATTTTCATAATTGCACATGACCGCCTGCTGTTGTCTTAGACATGCCCTCTAGATAATGCAGCAGGATTACACTGATGCAATTAGATCCTACGGGTTCTGATCAGACCTCTGACACACAGAAATCTGCAGAAGGGAGAAAATGAATGTGGTCTCAAAGCCTGACTCGCAACTTTCCAACTCTGACTCAGAGGTTCAAACAACAATCAATACGGTGACCTATACTCAAGGAAACAACACACTAAAATAAACAATTCCCTTCAATGTTATAACAGAGGAGAGTGTAGTCAATACTTGTGGAGCATGAACAACTCTCTCTCAAATGATGGAAAACACTGAGGTGGTTTCTGGACATGATGAGCATCCCTCTCCCTTCAGTGTAGCTCTAGAATTTACTGTACACAACATCCAAATATTGACTGTGAGCAATCCAAAACACATTTCAGCTGCACGTTAACGAAGGGCATTTATTCCCCTTTACAACCCCCCCACATGTTACAGGATTGCTGAGTGTTAGAGGGTCGCATTGAGGGAGAGAAAACAAATATGCTAGAAGCAAATAGACAGAGAAGGGGATGCTATTAATGGTGCTTTGCTCAGAGAAGCTCCGCGGTGGGCTCTCGTGACTAAATCTGTGAATTTTTGCTCCCTTTCACCACGATTTTATAACACGTTGCGAAGCTGCAGAGGGGTTTTGTAGGTTGGCTCGGCAACAGGAAGCGCGGGGATGACAAGAGACCTCAAAGTGCTAATCAAAATCAGTGCTGTCATTCGTTAGCACTCCGAATGGGGACCTTGTGGATAACAAGCAAACGGGGCAATAAGCAGAATGAAGGGGTGTGAAATGATGCGGGAACAGCAACAGACAGCAGCCCCGGCCCTCCTCAAAGGACCAGGACAACATGGCTGTCAACATCTATTTTGCTCCCATCATTAACACTAGAACAGCATTAGCCTGAAGTCCCCTTGCAGCCTCATTACATCTGACAGCATTGTGGGAACTGCTTGGGTTCGTACTGTAATGTCCAACACTGGACTTCAGCGTAAAACAACAATAACATAGAAATATAATTTGTTTTTTCATCCTCAGGAATCGCTGGCACCCCGGTGGTCTTCAACGTGAATGGAGATGCTCCTGGTCGCTATGAAATCTACCAATACCAGATGACAAATAACGCCACAGAATACAAGATCATTGGCAACTGGACAGATCAGCTCCACTTAGACGTATGGATATTTTAAACATTACTTCAAATATGTCTGAAAGATTGACTGTTGGAAAAGTGAAGCATGCAGAGTGCCAGATGTTTGTGCTGGTGTTCATGCACATTATCTCCATCAGCATAAATAATCCACCAGATATCCAATATTTGGTCGTTTAGCATTTCCTTACTAATTCAACTCTTGACAAAACACTTAAAAATATAACATTTAGCTTCACCAACTAAAGGATGAATGTTGTGACCCTTATTCCTGTAGAAAGGTATTGAATGGAGGAATTCCCCTTCATCAATTAACAGAATAAGCCAAAACTATCTCAAAATATATCTTCTCATCTCAGCACATTTTTCTTCCAAGTGCCAAAGCGGCCTCTTAACCATTTTATGTGACATTAACAGCAACTTTAATGTCGCTACACGTAGTAGAGCTTCGTTTATCCACCCCCTCATAATGTATCACTGTTATCAAAGATAATGCTGGATGCATCTAGCTTACGTCGGGTTTTATAGGGCAACAGTCGACGGAATACTATTAATAATAAATCACCCTCTTCCTGGTTGGCATTAGAATTTATAAACATGCAGGCAAACAAATGCTTTGGGTCAACACAGAGCGTTCTTCCACTCACAATTATGCTCCCAAAAGTAGGTCTCCAATGACGTAAAAAGCCTTTTTTTTTTTTTTTTGCATTAACCTTATTTTGACATTTGCCACCATTACAGGGTACAGTAATACACCAGTTCCTTGTTCACGATATAAACATATGCATGAACCACAGAATCTGTAGCTTTGCATGTGTTTATCATCAAAATTGCTTTGTGTTACATGCCAAACTTTGTGAGGAGCAATGTTTATTTTATGCATCATTTATACACAAGCCCCCCGGCGAGGCACAAACTGTAGGTACGGTTTAAGATTACTGTAGAGATCGAGGTCCTGAGCCTCTGCTGCATACTGATCGACTTCACCTGCATGGCAGCATCACCTGCACACCGCATTAATAAAAAATAAATAATGTCAGTAATACAGCACAGGCACATGAGACTGCAGTAGCACGCAGACTCCATTTACTTTAGGTCCGCCAGTCAGTGCATTCCCTGTAAGTAATTAAACGGCAAAGTTGTTTCCTGTTGAGTTATAATTCGATGAGTTAACACGATGATGCCTTGATAAAAAAAATAAACTGCAGCTTTCATGTGGCAAATATCCCATTTACAGTTTGCTCAGTCGATCATGCACTTCTCTGTGTGTGTTTGTGTGTGTGTGTGTGTAAACTAATCTACCAAGTGTTAATTGAAATGTGTCCTCATGCATTATGCATTATGTAACTGGTGTAACGATAAGTAGTAAATGGTGTTCATGTTTTTGCTATACTGACCCCTACAGGTACTCTTTAATTACAATTGTGAGCTGGTAAAATGTGATACTGAGTAATTGCTCGGTATTCATGCACCTTGTTTAGGTTTCAGGGCTGTGAAATATATGAGTAAATGATCGTTGGTGTGGTGTGGTGGAATAAAATGATAATATCTCTATACTTTCCCCTCTAGACCAAAGAAATGCAGTGGCCTGGTGCAACGCAAGAAGTCCCGTCCTCTATATGCAGCCAGCCCTGCCGGCCCGGGCAGCGCAAGAAGACGGTGAAGGGGATCCCGTGCTGTTGGCACTGTGAGAACTGTGACGGTTACCAGTATCAGGCCGACACGTACACCTGCAAGATGTGCCGCTTCGATTTGCGACCTAACACCAACAACACTGGCTGCGACCCCATTCCCATTGTGAAGCTGGAGTGGAGCTCCGGGTGGGCTGTGATCCCCGTCCTCATTGCTGTCCTGGGCATCATGGCCACTCTGTTCGTCGTCATCACCTTCGTGCGCTACAACGACACGCCAATCGTGAAGGCGTCGGGTCGAGAGCTGAGCTATGTGCTGCTGACTGGCATCTTTCTGTGCTATGCCACCACGTTCCTCATGATCTCCTCTCCAGATGTGGTGATTTGCTCCCTGCGGAGGATTTTCCTGGGCCTGGGTATGAGCATAAGCTACGCGGCACTGCTCACCAAGACCAATCGGATCTACAGGATTTTTGAGCAGGGCAAGATGTCGGTCAGCGCCCCTCGGTTCATCTCCCCGGCCTCCCAGCTAGTCCTCACATTCACCCTGATATCGGTGCAGCTCCTCGGGGTGTGCATCTGGTTTGGCGTGGACCCGTCGCAGGCCATCATCGACTACGAGGATCAGCGCACGTCCAATCCCAAAATGGCCCGTGGCGTTCTGAAATGTGACATATCAGACCTGTCCCTCATCTGTCTGCTGGGTTACAGCATGCTGCTGATGGTCACCTGCACAGTTTACGCCATCAAGACCAGGGGGGTCCCCGAGACGTTCAACGAGGCCAAGCCCATCGGCTTCACCATGTACACCACCTGCATCGTGTGGCTCGCCTTCATCCCCATCTTCTTCGGGACCTCGCAATCAGCAGAAAAGGTAAATATTGTTTCAAATGTGGTGGAAGTTTTGCCTCATTTTTTACAAATGAGCTCTTTTAAATTTGTACACAGATGCCAATGTTGTCACTTAGCTTTCATCAATTTTAACTAAAACAAACCCCATGGCAGCAGGTCAATTTAATTCACTCGGGCATGTTGGATGTCACTTTTCCATTTGGAGTTCTTTTATATTTCTGATGCGCAAAATGGCCACTCTAATGACGTTTGTTGTAAAGCATCAGCCTCTTGTGTTTGTGGATACTGCCATTAGTCATCATGAGACGATGGGCTTTGTGCGCCGCTGTGGGGATTACAAGGCTTTTAGAGCTGTCTTGAGGATAATTCATTCACCTCAAGTTTGCTTGGATATGTTTTCTGTAATTGTGTTTCTGTGCGTGTTTGATTCAGCTTTACCGGGTGGGAATACCGAGTAGTCAATCACTGCACCTTCAGGCACACACAAACAGGTGATACAGGTTTGTGAAGTAGCACAGAAATCACTGTGGCTGATGATGTTGCTTGTCACAAATAACCTCTTACAAGTGCTAATTTAGAGGTTGCTCAACACGGAGGTACACATTGAGAAAGCAGACAGAGGAAAAGTCTAACTACTGGTAGCAATAGAGGCATCGGTATGGGAATACTGTTTGGCACTGCATAATAAACTTAACAGCATCCTTAATACTGCCAACAACATAAAAGAGTATGTTATAGAGCAACAAAATAAAGAAGAGAAAATGTGTACATGGACATTTTGTTCTGGTAATGTAATAAAAGAGGCAAATGACTAAAAAAAAAAGTAGTGTTTCTTGGACAAACTTTAGGAATGGAAACTCTTTGTTCTCCTTTGAAAAAAATAATACTATCATTCTTCCAAATTACTCGTTTGGTACTAAATGTACTGCAGCCCAACAACGATATTTGATAAATACAATGCCAGTTATGATTGAAAAATGTCACTGGGAAAAGTTGCTTTCAGTATCAGCCTCTCAAGTAACACACAAGGAACATTTAATTATAGAGAGAAGAATTGGGCGAATGGTGTTTTCAAGTTTCCTTTGCTCTCTGTGTGCCGTGTCGAATATAAACAGCACAGCAACTCAAAACTCAGAGTTAACTAACACACAAACACGTTTGGAATAAGCTTGTGGCAGAATCCATTAGGTCCTCTGTGCCCACTGTGTTTTCTGGAGATGTGGTGGAAGCCCTTCAGGATCAACAGGCGGCAGAGCTGTTGTCTTAAGGCTGTGAGCTTGTGAAGCATGCACACAGCTTTACTCAGATTCTGGCCACAAAAAAAATGAATTAATGAAACGGGCAGCCAAATAGAAATAACCTTCACGTGTATCTCCACCACTGAAGAGCAGGTGAATAAACTGAGCAGAGAAATCATTCTCAATCCAAGTTTTCAATCCAACCCAATCGGCGCTTGCACAATTCAAAGACTTGTTATGTTGTTATAGCAGAGGGTGACAGTCATATTAAAGTACACCATGAAATAATACAATCTGTAATACTGATCGTCTCCTATTTATTGATTAAACTCTCTCTTATATACACCATTAATAAGTAATCCATTCTTCAAAACAAGAAAACAAAAACAACCCCAAATCACAGAGACAAGCACAAGACTAATAGTAACGCATGCCCTCTGTCTGGTGAAATATGGGAGGTCATTTGCGGGTAGATTTTTTTTTCACAAATTATCAGCCTATTGCCAAAACATGTGCTGGCTTAGAAAGCCACTGTGGATCGCCGACTGCAGGGTTTTTGCCACGCAGCCAAAACTAGCCAGGCCACGATCCGTCACAGCTTTTGCCATAATTCTGGCGTTATCGCTCATGACAGCATGCACTTTGGCTTTGTCTATTCTCCATGTTTCAAACTTTTTCTCCAATGCCTCTGATGGTCTGGGAGTGTAACACGGCTTTTATTAAATCTTTTGTGAATTCACTGTGCTGTGAGGCCGAGCACGCTCACAGGGCGAGCACCTTAACTCGATATATCAGCTGTAAAACCGATGGCAGGGATGTCAGAAGCCAGGAGCTCATGGACGTTCGAAACCTCACAACGGAGACAATATTCCTTTAATCATTAACACCTTTGCTTTTCTCTGACATGAAATACAGGCAATACAAATAGTTTGCAAATAATTTCACTCATCCATATTCAGAAAACCCAAACCCCAAATATGTGGGTGCAAGGCCTTGGAGGAGCTGTGTTAGTGTCTTCCTGTTTGCATGCTTTGCGTGTAGGTAGGGACAGCTCTGGCAGCTGTCAGGACGAGCGATTTGATCCCTAATGACATAAAAAGAGCAATCCTGCTCCGGAGAAACTTCATAGTGGCTGAGCCTTCTGAGGTTTCCTGTCCCCGGCCTCGTTCTCTCGCTGCACCGATGGAGCAGATTGGCAATCATATCGGCGTGTCAGAGAAAATTTATGTCACCGGGCCGATGGAAAAGTGGACAAGGGTCCTGGCTCTCCTCGCAGAGTGACTCTACTCTGTTCTCCAGAGGGGTGGCAATATTGTTCCAAACTCACCACAGGCCACGTGTAATCTTCTCAGGAGATTACAACCCCCCCCCCCCCCCCCCCTTCACCTAGGACTGCTTGCATTGCAGTATGATGGAACACAATGCCGATCACTTCCATTTGACTTTGACATCTGTTTTTTCTCACTTGACATGGCTTTAGGGAACTTATTTTGTGCAAGGCGTCTCTATAGTTTTTTTATTACATCAACATATATCATTGTCACTGTACAACCAGTCATGCTATTTATTTCATATTGTACATCTTTGCTTTCCCCCTAGACCTGAGTGCCCTGTAAGATAAGGTCATAGTATGCACAAAAAGAATGCTGCGATAGCGTATACGGTCGCTCGTTTCTCAGTCAAATTAACAATGGACATTTAACTACACCTTAAGATGGTCTGCAAAGGTTTGTAAAAAAAAAAAAAAGAAACAATTGTTAGCATCTTGAAATGTGAAGATAAATGTTGTACAAGCTGATATACAAACATATGTCATGACCCCACAGTGGGAAACACAATTTATAACTGTTGACATGCTGGTGGTTCAGGGCCCTGTGGGATATTCCCATGCCAAGAGACTCGGCCATTTGTGATGTGTGCAAATGTAATGTCAGACAAAACCTCAGGCAAATCTCTCTGAAGGATGTCTGCCAGCTGTGTGCAGACTGTACCCTCTTCGCCTTGTGTTCATCAACTTCAGAGGAGCCCAGCCATCTTATTCCGAGAGGCAAAGTCAACTGTTCTCTAATTAATGGTTTTGACACCGGATCACTGTGAAAAGATGGAGCGGGATAATGATGAAATTCCTTACTTTGATGATTTTATTGGAAATTCACTTTTAATCGAAATAAATTATGCTTTCACATTTAACATGAATGTGTCGATATCAAATATGATCTACCTCATTATATGTTTTTACATCCCGTGCGCTGACTCACCACATTCCCCACAACAAATCAGAGACGGACTGTGTGTCTGAGCTCTGGGATGATTATCATTAATGAAAAATCACTTGCAGGCACTTTTAATATGCTGTAGGATGTTTCTCTCCGCTCCACAGCGGTTTGCCTGCGGCCATATATCTGTTACCCAGCTGTGAGCTGCAGATGTCACTGGCTTCAGAAAGCACACAGTTCTTATGCCGTTGTCTAAAACCTCGGTGGTAAAGACATCAATACGCAGACTACACAGACACCTAGCAGTGGGGCACTGCTATTAGTTGTGTATAATAAATAAGCAAACACATCGATGAAAGCAGAGCTCAGGGGTGATGAACCCAGCACGTGAAATAAAAAAAATATGAATAAAGGGCACTCTGATACAGCGTGCTGTCCAAAGTGAAGTTCTCCTACATGTGAAGCTGTGATTTACATGAAAACGTTACCATCTTCTGTTCATATATTACTTGCGTATGGCAGTGTCTGTCCTTGATGCGTCGTTTTAAGAGCCTCAGTCTATTGAAAGCAATGCATTCCCGGTCATCACATGGCCCTCAAACCATTCTTCTTCCTGCAGCTTTATTAGAAAATTGGCTCTCAGAATAAAAGACATGAATTTGATTTTCCTTGATGGACTTATTCAAACTGTGCAGACTCGACAGTAAGTGTGCTCAATTTAACCTGATATTCTAGAACTAGGACGTCACTGCCCATCAGTCAGTGAAGCCTCGACAAATGATTCTGTTTGCTTGTGTCTCTTCCATAATACAGATGTACATCCAGACCACAACCCTGACCATCTCCGTGAGCCTCAGTGCGTCAGTCTCTCTGGGAATGCTCTACATGCCCAAGGTCTACGTGGTTCTCTTCCATCCGGAGCAGAACGTACCAAAGCGAAAGCGCAGCCTGAAAGCTGTGGTCACTGCAGCCACTATGTCCAACAAGTTCAACCCCAAAGGCGGCCTGAGGCCCAATGGAGAGGCCAAGTCTGAACTCTGTGAAAGTCTTGAAACACAAGGTTGGTATGACACCTGATGGCGCAATAGCGAGAAAAGAAAGAACTAAAATGTTTTCCAGAGAACCTCAACCAGGAGTTGATTTTATGCTGATGCAATGAGCTGCTTCTCTGGAAAAAAAGAAAGTAGTAATAAAACAACTTGAAAATAATGAAATTCTTTTTTATGAACATAACTGATGGCAGAGTTATTTTGCACTTCAGCAGTTCTGGAAATTAGCAAGCCTTATGTGAGCATACAATAAATTAGGGGACCATTTCAGTGGCAACTTAAGTGGTATTATATTGTGGTTTCTGATCCATTGCAGATGATATAAAAAAATTTAAAAAAACTGTGTGAATAATAGGGCTGACCTCAACCAAAGGAAATCTTAGCCCGTTAACACTAATCGACTACTTAATTGTTAGTAATTGACAGATCTGTACAACTGAGTATCTCCATTGACCAGAGATGAGCTCATAGGTTTCTTGGAAATAAGTCATTCAGCCTGAAAAAGTATAAATAAATGGACTAAAGAATTCTTAGCAGACTAAGATCCAAACGACCAATTAGTTGACTTATCGACTAAGAGTGGGCAGCCCATGTGCTATATCGAAATACAAAAAAATGTGCTTGACAAAAACAGGATGTAACTTTTCCGTTTCATCAGGATAATCCATGTATTTAAATTACATGGAACAGAAGAAAAATAATTCCATTCTCCCTAACTCAGACCACACTGGATTTGTGAATCAGGAGGTGTGACAGTGTGCCCACATTATTCAGATTTTTGAAAAGGAACTAAGGTAGCACAGTGCTGGGAAAAAGGTGATTTCAATCACCAAGATGAAGCGTTTGAGACAGCCGTCCCTGTGTGGGTCCATGGTTACATCCAATCAGGCAACCACACATGTTCTGATTACTGAAAGTCCTGATTCTGCACTCTGACAGGCTCAACAGTGTAGAATGATTTGTATTGGAGCAAAAGGCCAGTGCCCACACTTGTAAGAATGCCTTTTTTCTGACCTCAGAATGGAGTCATTATGTCTCATCCTATTATAGAGCCCATTTATAGGTGCTGATCTCGCCCTCTGGTTTGAACTGTGAATCTAACAACTGCTCTTTGTGCTTGTGTGTCAGACTGTGTTGAGGGAGGGGAGCCTTGTGAGGGACTTTAGACTCTCAGGTAACCTGATTAGTCGAAGACTTTGCCCTTTTTTAAATTTCTGCTAATGTTCACTACCACACCCGTGCCTGCCTATGCTACGCACAAAGCATCCCGGCTGCCCCCGGCTAAAACACAGCACCCTTGAATGACACTCGGCAGTAATCACACCCTCACAAATCCACCCTTGACCAACAGACATTAACTTGGGTCAACACTATTGGCGACCCAGTGCCGCGAAATGGCAAATCAGCAAGGTGAAGTCTGTTGGTGTGGGAAGATGACACCACTCTGTCTGAGTGCAGGAGACAAGCGATAGCCACGTGTCCCCTGCAATTTGTTTTCCCCGTTGACAAAAAGAAGGAATTTGCGGTAACAGAACAACAACAATAAGAGGGAACAGGAAAAGACAGATGGGTCTGCCAGCTCCAATTCTTTCTGGACCATCTATTCTTTATCTTGGCCTTGCAGCACCTAAATATTCAAATAAGGTTCATTTATCAAGGCTTCTATGCTTTGGATGAAATGGCGAGAATGTCCTCCCCCCCCCATATTCGTACACCCAACATGGCATCGACAAATATACGGAAACATTTACCATTACATGTCTCTCCTCGAAAGCACTTTTGGCTCTGGCTTTCAGCCGTCTTCTGATTGGATTCATCCCCTCTGACATATTCAATCAGCCAAGACTGCTGCGGGCAGATTGGTAGTGTGATTACCACCACACCAAGCATGCTCGCTGAGGACAGTTTTATTAAAAAAAATATAAAAATGCCACACACGACATACTGCGTGTGCATCGGAGCATGGCTGCGCGCGCACACACACACACACACACACACACAGGTAGTGTACTGTATAACAGTGGTGTTTCTGGGCTTGTTTCAGTCACGGTGGTCTGCCCTCCGGTCATCTGTCTTATGTGTTTTATTCACAGCTGATCAAAAATTCCATGAAACATAAAAAAACGAATGTTAAAGAATAATGAGCACCATTATCAAACATTGATGAAAACACTTACAGTGCCAAGTCAGATCACATATTGTCTCATATGCTTTACAATTGTAAATGTTACTGTGATACACTGACTGCTGCATGTTCTGCTTGGTGCACAGAGAAACCTCAGGTCTTTGCATGCGGTACAAGACTCACCGTTGCATTTCATACCGATGCTGTGAATCTGCTCGGTGGCTCTATTGACACAATCAAATGAGATAATCAGCTGTGAGGAAAACATTATGAACAGAAGATTCCCTGATGCCATTAATGCTGCTGTAATAGCAGGTACTTATATGACCAGTGAGACAGCCTATGAGTCTGATTCCATCTGCATCACTGTCTTGACAAAGATTTTAAATGTCTGCAATGTTACCATGTACAATAACAATCAACAACCAACAGTTCTTTTCTACCCATATGCTATGAAGTTGTGTAAAATCTTTTTTTAGAGATGAAACAATAACTTGATTTATCGGTTAGTTGATTAGCAGAAAATTAATCAGTAACTATTTTGATCGTTCCAGGATTTTTTTTACAAGCAAAAATCCCAAATATTCTTTGGTTCAGGCTTCTTAAATGTGAGGATTTCTCTATTTTCTGTCATTGTACATTGAATATTTGTATTATTATTTGGTTGGACAAAACATGTCATTTTGAGCTCTGAGAAATTATGGTGTGAATTGTTTCAGGAGTTAAACAATGAATCCATTAATTTGAGAAAGCTAGTGGAAGATTCATTAAACGTCCTAATCTATTGTAGATCTTTATTATTTTGCATCGTTGTAACAGTTTGTTCTCAATCAGTCAAATTTCGACTTCCTTCAGATTTGCAAATTCTGTTTCCCATTCTGTTTAAATGCAACACAATGACAGAGGAGGTGTCATCGCTGTAGATACAGCTTTCCCATTACTACACCCTGCTGTTATGATTGGTTCCACCTGCACTGATTTGATGAAGGTACCCAGAAATAGCACTTCCCATCAATCTGGACGCCAACATGTGCACTGACAGAGTACCGTTGCATGCCTACTTGAATCTCACCCGTTGCATTTTTAACCCTATCCTCCCTTCTCCTGCCTCCTACCTTCACTTACAGCGTTGGCTTCCAAGCAGACATACATAAGCTACAGTAACCATGCCATCTAAGCCAGGGATGAACAGAGGAGGCGGAGCCAGGGCCTGCCTGAGGAGAAATCACCTGATTCTGGGGAAGACTTCCAAAGCTGCAACAGCAGAGAAGAACTGGGGTGGAAAGATGGGAATTTGCCACTCCATGAATAGAATGGATGTCATATTTTTTTTAGAGAATCAGGTAAAGGCTTAAATGGCGAGTTTATGAGAAATTAGTAGTTTTGCAGGAGGGAGATGTGTAAGGGAGATTGGACAGTTACTTTTCCTCTTCCCACCCTTTCTGAGACACACGTGAGCGTTGACGTCTCCAGATGAACCACCCGGCGTCTACACTATGTTTTCCTTCTGAAGTGTAAAGCACACAATTTTCTGATCTGAGGCTGAATCGTTTGTCTATAAAAACAGGGGGGGGGGGGGTTCTGTTTTTCACTCAAGTCAAACGAAAGCTGCAGTACTCTTCAAACTGTACATGCCTTACTACAGCACATCCAGTGACATCCTACATGAGTTATAACCATATCTGAAACACCTGGAAAATAAAGCAGTGGGTCATCCCAGTTTTTTCTTTTGGATAAATGTTTCATAAAAATAATGATGATGATGCCATCGCCTTGGCAAACCTAGTGTACAGTCCCAGAGCATGCTTGTGGGAGCGTCACGTGTACTGTGCTGTGTTGTCAACGTCTTTGGAATGCAACATTTGTCATGGTCGTCATTCACAGTGGAGATGTCACTTTGGACCATTACCCACTGGGTTACCCTCTGCTGAATCTAAAAGAAGGAGCTAATCCAAACGCAACATTGCAGTGGAATACCTTCACAGTTCACACCTCACTTCATTACTGTCAGCCGGGACCTAAAGACTTGTTGATGCATACTTTAAGCATCCCAGATTTACTGGCCTTTATTTATCATGCGCTTGTTGAAGCCTTTGCCAATTCGAGGAGTTGAATGATCGTGAGTGTTGATATTTTGTTAAACTTTCAGCCCAGCTAATATTCAAAAAGGTACAATTCCTGACAAAATAACAACACATTTGCATTTGGCATTCCTTCCAATAAATTACACCAACTGTTATTTCAATATTATCCTGTGTTTTCTATATTTGTGTATATTAATGTTTGAAGATATACGATTTACAAAAATGTGTTCATCATTTTTATAGCAGCGGAGCTGGAATAACCGTCTATTCTGTCACTTAACAGTTGATTTGTGACGAATAAAACTACACATCAGTCCGCTGTCGTACCAGATATATATTAAAGCTTACAGTATGATGGATTACACAGGCCAGTATTACATGGGGACCTCTTATGATTAGTGATAGATGCACACGTAATCTGTGTTCCCGGCAAAGGATTTTATTCCCTTTCTGAGTCATGAATTTCACGGCCACAGTGGAAATTGCTAATGAGAGTTTTAATAGTATTTTGGGTACAAAATTAGGCTCATGCAGCTACTCAGCATGAAGACCCATTTGGAAAAGGTGCAAACCTTTGAAATGTTCAAAGATAATTAAATGGAGGACATGCAAAATATCTCTGTGTTTTACCTTTCAACACACCCAATATGACCATTTTAGGGTTGACACTAGCTCTGTTTAAATATTCCCCACAATCCTAAAGAATAGTATTTTGGTAAATGTCAGATTTTCACAGATAAAATCATGAATCACTTAATTTAGCCTGTGTTAAGTGACAGGGATGCTAATACATCTACAACTCTATGCAGCTTTTAGGTTCATTCATCTATACATTTCTTTAAATTGATAATCCCTGCTCATTCTGTCTAATATACATTATCCATTTTGAGATGAAAAGGGGGAATGTACAGCTACTTGATAAATAAAGGCCAGTGCCTTCATTCTGTGCCTCGTTTCCATTAAACTACTCCTGCCATTCTTTCCATGGATCCTTCATGGTGTCGTTTCATGTTGCATCCATTACCTTTCAAGTGTGTTCTGTTCAAACATCAGCAAAAGTGGACTCAGTGTACAATTTATAATGAAGTGTGTAAACTCCATTTCTGTCCCAAGTCTCCAAAGTATTTGCCTCTGGAATTTCTCTCATTTAAATGTCATCCTCAGCGATGCAAAAATATGTATGTTGCATGTCAAAACTCATAACAAGTCATGTGAACAATCTGAGAGGAATGGTGTAATGTCCAGAAGGAAAACTACTGCAGAGGATTATAAATAACTAATACTTTGGTTTGAATCAATGATTCTCTCAGCTTCAACAAAAGTCGACGGTGTTGCCGCAAATGTTGTTTTCTCATCAGTTGATAAAGTATTGTTTGTGGGATTGTTTGTGTTTGTGAATATGATAATTTACCGCTTTTTTTTGCCACAACCCCCCCTACCTCCCCTTTATTTTTCTAAAACACTTTGTCTGTTACAAAAATAGAATATGTAAGTGCTGACTGAAACTAAGTGGCAAGTTAATGTATGTTATTACAATGGATTGATCCTGTCTGCTTTATGTACTGAAATATCAAAAAAAAGAAAGATAAAAAAAGAAATACAGTGCCTGGATATTTATGAATTGTCTATAGAAAAAAATTACAATGTGTAGAGCATGTTCATTTTTATACAAGATATTTCTAATAAAAGACTGTTTTGCTAATACAGTGTGGCCGCGTCTTCTTATTAAGCATGTGTTACAAAGAAAAGTGTTTCCATCAGCAACAGGTAATGACCACAATCATCATTATCACTAATTAAATCATGAATACAAAGTTGACACTTTATTGAAGACTAAGTAAAGGCATGCTATGTGATTTTAACTGATGCACAGACAGGATGCTTGTCCTTGGACAGACATTTGAACGAGCGATTATGTCATCAGTACCCGAGAACAGGTGTTCAGATTTCTGTTATAATCAGAGCTGAAACAATCAATCTACTCGTCGATTGACATTGTTTAAGTCATATATCAATCAAGAATTCTTCAATGTCAGGATGTACTGCAAATGATCACTAAATGCATGAAATACACTAAACCTGTAACGTGTTCGGGAGGCAATGTTTAAGTCAGGCCTTCTGTTGCCTTAGACATGAAAAAATGATCCCAGTCACTTCCACACATTGAGGCATACAGGTATTAGTTAAATACTGGTCTCGGATCAGTACTCGGTATCCGCCGATATCCAAAACCCAGGTATCCGTATCAGGTATCAGGACAAGAGTTGGATCGGTGCATCCCTAATTCAATTTTTGTCAAGCACCTGGAGAACGATGCATAATTTATCAACATGATTTATGAGTGGGCGGCCACATTCAGATCACATACAACGTCTCACCAATGTGATGGCCCAGAGCTAAGACTTGTACGTCCCACGAAATAATCAGGATTCTTCATTTTCGTCATTTTTACGGCTGAATCGTAGAGCCATGTGATTTGCCAAAGGAGAAGCTGTCAGGGAGCTGAGGAGAAATGGATTTCAACAGCAGTTAAAAATACAAAATTGGGAAGTAACATGGTGAAGATCTCAAGGCCACTACTGAGCTGAAACCTCTTTTTGGACGTGCCCGTGTCATTGAATTGACAACAGAAAATGTCGAAGTAACCCGAAGTCAAAGTCAGCGTTGAATGACAATGCTGCCTGTTTGCTGGGAGTTTCGCCAGCAATCAGGGCCTTAACCTCGGTTTAATGGTGGATCGATATGGTCAGCCACACTTGCAGCACAAGCCTTGAACAAATTGAGAAAATATCATATCTCTAAAAGCTGACAGATTTATGAGCCACTCCAAATGAAAAGTAGAGCCGGTGAAACTATCTTTATAGTGCATTTATTGCAGGGTGGAAACGGCCACCTGGATAATCCCTGATACAACACTGTCATTAGCCCTGTGTCTTCTAAGTGAATCTCCTCCCCTGCACAATTAGCAACACAACAGTATGTACAAGATTCTATAGTCCATCTTTCGCTGCAATATATATGAGACTTCCCAAGGAGGTAATTTACATTTTTCATGTTCTAATAAGGTTTCTCCTCCCCAGACCATGCACTACAAAGCATTTCTTGGGTCTTTTCTTTGCAAGCCAGTATGTTGTCCTAACTAATATGACCACAAGATTAATGAAAAACACAACTCTGGAAGGAGTGGGCCCTTAATCTGCAGGACATTTGGTCTCGGCTTCTGAATTTGCACCACCTCAGACACACGTCATAGTTAGCACACACGTCTTCTCAATAAATACAGCCGTGCTGTTGTCCTTTGGCCTCACATTACTAAGAGGCAATTCGTTAGTGAAGCCTCCATCCACTTCCAGCTACAAACCACGATCTTATTATTGTTTTTTCCTACAAAAACTTTCTACAGAAGCTTAAAAAAAACATCATTATTGTCAGATTTCCATCTTTCCGACAGTACATCATATGTGTGACGAACGCTTCAGAAAAAGAAACTAACTGCAACTGAAACTAAGCTTAAAATTTTGATATTTCATCAACAACATTTTATTCTACATGTCTCATTTAACAGACTAATAAATAAGAGCCAGTTAAAAGAAATTTAGAAAAGCTGGTCCGCCTTAAAGATCAGCCGACCTTAATTGAGCCCGAGTTGTTGCTGACTTCGGGGCTTACCCCTACACTTTAATCAGCAGGTAGCAAGCAAGACACAGGAACTTGGTTTGGGTCTTGAGGAGTTGTCCCATTTATTCACAGACACACTACAATTCGGTGGACATTTGTTCCAAATTTGAAGAAATTCGCTGAAGGTGTTCCAGAGATAATGCATTCACGAGAACGGACAACTCAAAAACACAATGCCTCCGGGCCTGGCTGTCAGCGGGGCAAAGGCATAATGAAATGCACACAAGCTGCACTGCTATAGCAGAAAGCTGTAACGTTACTGGTGACTTCATACTCATCGTCAGCGACATTACGCCATGCTAGCGCTACACTGGTGGGAACACTGACAGAGCAAATTGTATTGAATTTGCCACACCATATCCTGCCACCTCATCACTGCCATAGCATACCATCGTCTCCGTCTGGTCTACAGGACACTGATGTACTTGTCAGGCAGGTAGAGTCGCTGTGACTGCAAGGAGGCCCCCCCCCAAAGCACTGCTTTAGGAAGAGGTAGCCCATAATATAAACACAGCTGTCTGATAACAACTTGCCATTGGAGACATACATCCGTTAGGAGCTGCTATGAGATCATTTGCCCTCAGTCATAATGAATCAACCCAATTAGCAGATGCCTGCCTTCATCACCTGACGTGTTTTGAAGGCACAGTGGGGACTCTCCCAGACAGCTTTGTCAAACAGCAGACCAATATTTATTTGTTAATTACATCCACAAATGTCTAGCGCATACCGACATGTAGGGGATTCTGTTGAAACTCCACGATTTTTAATGCTTATCATTTATTTTTGAAAGAATTTTGACAGCCTCAAAATAACTTTTTTGTCTTAACATTACAACTGACTTCATTCAACTCTCGTTCTCTAATCCGACTGATTTGGATGAACTTTGGGTAACTTTATTTGATGGAAGATAGTAGAGAGTAAATGTTAAAGAAGAGAGAGAGAGGGGGATGATATTCAACAAAAGTGTCCTCAACCGGACTTGAACCAATTACAATGAATAGTAAACGTTGAGGCTTTTGAGCCAACATTGTATTACCAAGGAGCATATGGACAACAAATGACCTCCCATATGATGAATTTGGCAAACCTTTTGGTAAAAATGTGTCTGGTGCCAAAAACATTGAAACACAGGTCTGATGTGAGGTGCGATTATAAGCGTGGTGTTGGTTAGACATCCTGATTTGTGCACAAAACAGAGATGGATCTTGCGCTTACGTTTTACTGAGATGGTGAAGTCGGTTCAAGAAGTATTCATACAGCAATATAGAAATTGCCCAAGAAAAGAATAGCACAGCACAGGCATGGGTTAGGAAAAAGCATAAAGAAATAGGTCTTAGTTAGATGATATTTGTTTGGTTGGTATTAGGAAGGTACTACTTACGTGAAGGTTTTGTTTGAATTAAATGCCAGCTACTGCTGAATAGTTTCTAACCCTGTTAACCCGAGCTACCCTTTGTCTGTGCTACTCACACAGTAAGCCATGAGATTCTGAATTGGATTTTTCTGTTCAATTTTTCATGCATGGTTTATCAGCCCAGGATGCCCTATTCTCCGTATCATTTCCTACAAATGACCAAGAAAAGAGCACATATTTTCCCCATTAAATGCAATATTACCACGTCAACATTCCCACTGTGCAAATTAATAAGTACTGTTCATGAGATCATTTAAGTGAGTACATGCTGAAAATAAAAAGGTTTTCTCCATTTGAAATATTACTTTAATATTTCCACTCTGCTGCTCTAACCAGCGAGCGGTTACTTTATGTCGTCCCCGGGAGGAAAGCATTAAAATGTGTCTGAGGTGTTTGTTTCTTTCTGGGAGTGGTGAAGATACAGACCATGATGCTGAGGCTCTGGTGAAGGTGGGTTGAATGTAACCCCTCCTGGATTGTGGTGCATCTCAATGGGCTGAATGAATGAGGTCAAACACACTCTCGTCCTGTCTCTTTGTGGTCAAACACTATATGGTCGTCCTTCTTCAAACACTTGACGGTTGTCCTAACTGCTGCACCCCGTGTTTCATTTATCTTAACTCCATGCACGTGTCTCACTCTGTGTGACTGATGTTGGCACCAGACAGGGTTTACTGAGAGTGATGGAGCTAGAAGGCTGCAAAGCTCATGACAAAAGGAATGAAACTAGGCCAGCTGGAACTACCTGTTTACTGTGTAAGGTTGTATTTTACCACAATATAAATACATAGTGGATGTATAAATATTAAGGTTTCACATCCCAAAATACATATTAAGAAATAAACTATTCTCTTTTTCACATTGAACCTACTTCAACCTGTTTTTATAAACTTCCTAACAAGAAGGAAAAATAAAACAAAAGACTGGGGGGGGGGGGGGGATTTCCTGGGTAGCACAATAAATCACAAGGACAACCTATACACTATTGTGTGGCCCATTACAGCATGAAGCCTATTCCCGTTGCAAGATTTATATATAATCTAAAAGAAATAATCCCGCTCTAGTTTCTCCTCAAGGGAAGTGTGTCCTTACTCCAGTAAGGATGATAATTATCTGATTGGAGTAGCGTTGATCTGTGTTATCCTTATTCCACTTAAAATAATTACTTATGTGCAGGGTTTGCACTGGCCTGTGTTATTTTCTAAGTGTGTCAAGTTCGACGGACGCGACGACCTGCACCGGAAGTAGAGTTAGTAAAAAGTGAGAGTGCTAAGGTTGTTACTTCTTTTATTGTACTTATTCAGTCTCCATCCATCCAGTTAGTTTTGATGAGTACTATTTTGTTTCTGTTGAGTTTGAATGAGGTGCGTTTTGATTATCAGCAAAGTAAAATCACTGTTGTCCGACTGGAGTCTGGTGGATTTGAGGAGAGCATATTAATTGTATCTTTTGCAATAAATTGTAATAATTGTACCAAACCCTGTTGATTTTATCTATTATATAGTCACGTCACTGCGCATCACATAAAATTGCACCAGAAAAAATTAGCGTCTCCACCCAGGTGTCATTTTTCCATCACTAACGCTCGGAGCTGGAGCCAATGAATAGCCGGGACTTCTTTAGAGTAATTTATCCCGGAATTGAATGCCGATT